AGTCGACAAGCATCACCAAAGAAAATCAATGGTAACACTGGCACTCTGTTCCTGGAATTGGTAGCTGGGCGCGGCGATGCAGGAGAGCAGCCTAGCACCACGAGAACCATGGCGCTTTCCTGTGGGCCGTAGGCCCTGGCCTCGCTCGCCTCCGAGTTGTGGCATGGTGGAGTTTGGCTGTCCATGGTGGTGTGGTCGTGTGGCATGGCAGCTGCTCGGAGATTGAAGGGGAAGCTGCCCTGCTCTACCGTTGGCCGCCCGTGGGAGAGAAGCGCATTCAGCGCCGTGCCAACTCTCGGATTGGAACCTGGAACGAGTTGTTGGCACTTTGGCAGCTCTATCCTTGACTGGACCTGGGCCTGGGCCTGGGCCGTTCCCGCTCGCTGTTCCAATCGCCGAAGTGGCGCGTAGCGACGGCACCAGGTCCCGCGCTCCATCGTGGTTGACTAGTCGACTCCAGTAATTGTTCTGTGAACAAAAGACGAAACAAAAGGTTTACTAGTAATTCTTTTTTTTTAGCAAAAGGTTTACTAGTAATTCTCGAAGAAGAACGTTGACTTTCAGCAGCCTGAACCAGGTTACGAGGCTACGAAGCCGCAAAACTGGGCATCAACGGAGCAGTGAAATGGTTCAGACTTCAGAGCACGAAGCCGCTCGCTCCAATACTCTGCAGCTTGGCTCACCGTCGCCGCGTGCTGAATAAACGCGACGACTAATCACTGACTGGACTCCGCTGTGTCGAGTCCCACGCGTTCCCACTCTGTCCCATGCCCTGCCCTATGGACCTGTGATGCGTACGTACTCCATGCTACTACCCGCCCCCTCGACACAAGTCAGTTTTTTTTTTGACAACACACAAGTCAGTCTTTGCTGGCTAGGCAGGTAGCGGATTCAGACCCTCAGCCTCAAGGTTGCCTCAAGGTTCACGTACCGAACGATGAGCATGATTGATTCAGGTCGACTGGCGGACTGGGGCCTGCGGACCACCACCATTGATTGGCTTTGATCATTCACTCTCTCTCTCTCTCTCTCAGTCCCTGTCCCTGTTCGCCATCACCATCGCTTTGGCCGGAATCTCCTCAGCTGGCTCAGTGCTCCTCCATCACTCACCTCGCCTCCACTCCATAGATAGATTGGCCTGCTGGCCGGGCTTTAATCATTGGTAGTACCATCTTCCACGTCGTCTATGTACTGTAGCACATGGGTGGTGGACCCGAGCTACTAGGACTACGAGCAGTGGAAGTGGATGCATCTCTTCCTCCTTGCAGTCCCACTGTCCAAGCAAGTCCACCATTGCTTTGCTTGCTGGCCGAAGAGTCTGCTCAGCTACTCGGCCACCTCACCTCACCTCCACTCCACCAGATCTCGAGTTCTCCACCGCCGCGCCAGCGCTCGCTCTTGCCCTCGCTCCCCTGTTGCCGCCAGTGACATGGGTTCCTTTGGGTAGGCGCCAGCGCCAACTTCGGTTACCAAGTTCTTGTGCTCATTTCCCTTTCCTTGGGTGAGTACGTTACGCCTGTGTCTGCAACCTCAGGATCTTCTTCTTTTTCCTCCTCTTGCGCTGATGGATGGATTATTCCTTTTTTTTTTCTCCCTGATCCTGCAACCAGCACCACTCGATTTCTCCATCGCTGCGTCAGCGGCTCAGCGCTCGCTCTCGCCCTCCCCGCTCCCGGATTTGCTTCTTGGCAGCGGCAACAACAGCAAACAGGGATTTTGTGTTGGCATAACAGCACCGGCGATCAACTTCTGCTCATTTCCCTTGGGTTGGGTTGGGTTGGATTTGGGTGAGTACGTCTCCTCATGTCCTTATTTATGTTTCTCTACTTCCATTTTCTATACTCTGGTCTGGTGACCCCAGTTACCCAGTATTTTTTTTTCTTTGGTGTCACGATGGCATTTCTTATTCCTAAGCGATTTATTTCCTCTTTCTGCGTGCGTGCAGCGTCCAAGTTTGAGTTGCCTGTAACCAGTGTAACGTAGTACGCGCGAGCATGGAGCTCGCCGTCAGCGCCGCGAGCTGGGCGGTGGGCAAAGCGCTGGCCCCCGTCACGGGCGGCTTGCTGGAGGCGTGGGCGGCCAGCGAAGGGCTCGGCCCCAATGTCGACGCCCTCAAGGTGGAGCTGCTGTACGCGCAGGCCATGCTCGAGAACACGCGGGCAGGGAGATCGGCAGCCCTTCGCTCAAGGAGCTGCTGAGCAAGCTGCGTCAGCTGGCGTACGACGCCGACGACGTGCTGGATGAGCTGGAGTACTTCCGCATCCAGGACGAGCTCGACGGCACCTACCATGCCGCCGATGCGCACGCCGGGGGTTGCGTCCACGGCCTCGCCCTCAACGCTCGAGACACTATCGCTGCTAAGCTCAACCTCTGCTCCGGCGGCTCTGCTGGTGACGTGATCCTTGCCGGTGATCCTGCTCTGCAAGATAAAAACGCGAAACAAGGATGTCTCTCTGCTAGCGTCTGCTCATGTGGCGGCCGGCAGACGGTCAGCTCCTTACCGCCATCTCCTACCAACCAGGATGATGGCCAGGAGGCTGCACCAGTATGTGGCATCAGGCTGTGTTTACTTGGAGGGAAAGTTGGAATTTAGGTACGGTAGTATTTTTGTTTTTATTTGGCAAATAGTGTTCAATTATGGACTAATTGGCTCAAAACGTTCGTCTCGCGATTTCCAACCAAACTATGCAATTAGTTTTTTTTCGTCTACATTTCTTGCTCCATACACGTATCGCAAGATTCAATGTGATGGTACTATAGCACTTTTTTGAAGTATTTTGAACTGAACAAGCTCTCAGTAAGCGTCTTCTCTTCTCCCTCCCGTGCTGCTTTTTATATTACCATCTGTTGGTGCATGCTCTCACTTGTCCGAGGATCATAACATGACAGGAAATGGACGGCAATTCTTGGGTGCTGTCTTGCCTCCTAAGGTGCAACGATGCTTCTCGGCGTTTGCTTGTGCCGCAAGCGTGAGACGAGCTCGTCACCACCAGCACCCAGCAACCAGTGCGAAAAGAAGGTTGGCGGTGGATATGGATGCCCGCTCAAAGTCACTTCTACTGCTCGCAGCGCTGCCCAAGTCGTTGGTAAATGCTTTCCATGCTGCTCTTTTCCATCTAACGGCGACGATAATACTCACCCTGGCATGTTGGAGAAAACAAACATGCCAGAGGATCAAAGGAGATTTCTCTGCTGGACGTCCAAGGTACAAAAGGGAAAAAACACTGCACTACCACCAGAACTGAAGTTTAACAGGGTGGACATCTCTACAAAGATGAAGGACATCATAGAGCATCTCAAGCCTATATGTGCTAAGGTCTCCAACATTCTGAACCTAGAATTCATGGGTACAAACCGTATCACTGAAAAAGACATTGCTAAGAAACGGCCTATAACCACCCCAGAAACTACGGAACCTCAATTATATGGGGAGGAGCAACAAAAGAAAATAATACTTGACATTGCCCATGGTAACTCTTCTGCTGATAATGAACTAGTTGTGCTTCCGATTGTTGGTCCTGGAGGAATTGGGAAGACAACTTTTACACAGCACGTATATGAAGAACTGAATAACAACCTTTTTGAGGTCGCAATTTGGATATGTGTCTCCCTCAATTTTAATGCTGGTAGGTTGGCCCAAGAAGCCGTGAAAAAAGTTCCTAAAGTTGTTAATGAAAAAGAAAACAGCAGTGCCAAGAGCTAATCGAACAAAGATTCTAAGTTTTTTGCTTGTACTAGATGATATGTGGGTTGATGAGGAGCTTTAAAAAAATTAGGAGGGGTGAAACAAAAGAATAGAGTCATTTTATCTTCTCTTAATCTTAGCCCCTCCTACCTAATACATATATGCATAAAATTTTAAGAGATTGAAAGGGGCTCCACATGCGAGGATAGGTAGGGGGGGCTAGAGCCCCCTAGTACTAGATGATATGTGGGCATGCCATGAGGATGAATGGAAAAAATTGTTAGCTCCATTTAGAAGAGGGGAGGAAAAGGTAGTATGGTAATTGTGACCACTGGATTCGTGAGGTGGCAGAAATGGTTAAGACAGTTGACTGTCCAATAATAGAAATGGAGCGCTTAGAGGGTGAAGATTTCATGCATTTTTTGAAGCTTGCATATTTGGTGGTCAGCAGCCATGGAAGGTCACACGGACTTAAGTGAGGTCGGGGAAAATATAGTGAGCAAATTGAAAGGGTTTCCTCTTGCAGCAAAAAACTGTTGGAAGATTACTAAGAAGCCAACTTACTTTGGAACACTGGACTAAAGTTCTAGAAAGCAAAGAATGGGAACTTCAAACCAATGATGATGACATTATGCCAGCATTAAAGCTTAGCTATGATTATCTTCCTTTCCATCAAAGCAACAGTGCTTTTACTATTGTGGTTTGTTTCTGAAGACTATGAATTTGACAGTAAAGAGTTAGTTCACTTGTGGATTGGACTAGATATTGTACAACCATGCGACCTGAACAGAAGAATTGAAGATGTTGGCTTGAACTATTTAAATGACTTGGTTAATCATGGGTTTTTAAAAAAGAATGAAAGAAAGGATGGTTCTCCTTATTATGTTGTCCATGACCTACTACATAATTTGGCAGTGAATATTTCGTCATTTGAATGTCTCAGCATATGTAGTTCCAACGTTAAGTCAATACAGATTCGCCAAGATGTACGTCACTTGTCTATCATTGTAGATAACAAGGAGGTCGAGGACATAAATACTTTCAAGTATTATAAAGATGACTTGAGTGTACTTGATAAAAGATTGAATGTTGAAAAAACCTCCGTACTTTGATGGTGTTTGGGGAACACAGTGGAAGCTTTGCCAAGACTTTTTGTGATTTATTTGAGAAAGCTAGAGCCCTTCGTGCAATTTATTTATTTGGAGCATCGTCATATGCTATGAAGGACATGTTGAACAAGCTTCCAAAGCATATTCATCTTCGTTACCTAAGGATCAAATCTGATGGCACTGAAGATGACACAAAAGACATAGACTTTAATCTTAGTGCTCTGACTAGACTTTATCATTTAGAGGTCATAGATATGCAGGAATTCAAAGGTCACTATGGTTTCACTTTCACTTTCACAAGACATATGAGCAACCTTGCAAAGTTGCGCCACTTTTTGGTGCCACAGGATAAGCTTCAACTTCACTCTAACATAGTTGAGGTGGGAAAACTAAAATTATTGCAAGAGTTAAGGTGGTTTGAAGTTGGAAGAGAGACTAAGGGTTTTGAACTAAGTCAGCTTGGTCAATTGTCAGAACTTGGAGGTTCACTTTCCATTAGTAGTCTTGAAAGGATACGGGCAATGGAGGATGTGCATAAGGCAAGATTGAAACAAATAAAACATTTGCACAAGCTAACACTAGAATGGGATGCCAATCGACCTAAGAAAGATACCATACATGAAGAAAATGTATTGGAGATTCTTATACCACCTAGTGCTCTTAAAGACCTTTGCATTAGAGGCCATGGAGGTACTAAATGCCCAAGAATGGCTAGGTGAGAACCTCTCTCTGTCAAAAAATTGGAATCGCTTCATCTAGATGGTGTAGCTTGGAATATATTTCCACCTATAGGAGAGTTCTCTCTAGTTAATGAGCAGCGTGAAGAAATTTTGAATAATAATATCTGCCATGATAAGTTTCAAAATTTGAAGAGTCTGGAACTAGTTATGCTACCAAGTTTAAGAAGCTGGATTGTCAAGGCACCTTGTCATTTGTTTGCTCAATTGGAGGTGCTTGTCATTAGGGATTGCCGTGAACTAACGGAATTGTCATTTTCACATTATGCTTGCTGTCAGCAACAGAAAGAGGCAAAGATAAATTGGTTTCCTAGACTACGGGAGCTCAAAATTAAAAAATGTCCAAAATTGTTGTCTTTTCCTCCTGTTCCTTGGACTAGGGCTCCGTGCTCAGCTGAGATAGAAGGAGTTGGTTCAGGCCTTGAGGAACTTGTTTGTAAAGAGAATTACAAATCTGAATATCGCTTGAAAATTAAGATGAAGGGTGCTCTGGTTAGTGAGTTATGGAATATGTTGGCCTTTGATAATCTAAATGAAGTAAAAGACTTGAAGATGGACACATGCCCTCCTCTCCCACTGCATCACTTCCAAATGCTATCATCCCTAAAGAGCCTCAGGTTATACGGAGCTTCAAGTATTGTCTTTCCGTTGGTAGAAGGTGAGAGGCATGCCGAATATCAATCTCCAGTTGAACGCATAGCCATTGATGGGTGGGATGCTAGTGCGAAAGAATTGACACAGCTACTGACTTATTTCCCCAAGCTCTCTGAACTGAACATGCAGTCATGTAAGAAGATTACTGGGCTAGCTGTAGTGGAGAAGCAGGCAACAGAAACACCTGCGCTGGTATCTTCAGATAATAAAGTAGACGACGATGTAGAAATCGAGCAGCAGGAAGACACAAGAGGAGAGGAGGAAATAGACGCATCATCAGCAGAAGGGCTGCTGCTCTTGCCTTCCCAACTACAGATGTTGTCCATATCCCGCTGCCCAGAGCTGAGCCTCTGCTCATGCTCCGGTCCAGCCGACTACAAGTACAACAAAGAAGCAGGACGAACTAGTACAGGAAGAGGGCTCCAAGGTTTGCGCTCCCTCCGATCGTTGAGGATCAGTGATTGCCCCAGGTTCCTCTCCTCCTATTCGTCATCCTCCTCTTCTTCGTGTTTCCCCTTCCCACCCTCCCTGGAACACCTCTATCTTAAAGGCGCGGTGGGCACGGCGACGCCCTTGCCTCTCTCAAACCTCGCCTCTCTCACAAATTTAACCATATGGGAATGTGGGGATTTAAGAGTCGAGGGACTGCGGCATCTCCTCGCGCAAGATCGTCTCACCAAATTAGAGGTCCTCGAAACACCCAATTTCTTCGCTGGTCCTGAGCCCCCTGCTGCCCCATGAACAAGAGTTCCCATCCTCTTCCTCCAAACTGCAGGAGCTTGAGACAGATGACGTCGCGGGCGTCCTTGCTGCGCCCATCTGTACCTTGCTCTCTCCTCGCTCACCGATTTGAGATTGGGGGACGAAAAGGTGGATCGCTTCACAAAGGTGCAAGAGGACGCCTTGGCTCCTCACCTCTCTCGAGGAGATCACGTGCGACAAGCTGCAGGGACCTGCAGGGCTTCAAGGACTACGCAATCTCAAGCGATTAAACATCGTCATTTGCAGCCATCCGGTGGCTGCCCAAGGATGGCCTCCCAATTTCACTGCAAAAGTTGGAGATAGTCAACTGTCTAGCCATCCGGTCTCTGCCCAAGGACTGCCTCCCAAGTTCACTACAAGAGTTGGATATAAGCTATTGTCCAGCCATCCAGTCTCTCCCCAAGGACTGCCTCCCAAGTTCACTGCAAAAATTAGTGATCAAAGAATGCCCAGCCATTCGATCGCTGCCCAAGGCGAATGACCTACCAAGTCCACTCCGAGAATTGGATGTCCGGGATAGCGAAAACGAGGAGCTAAGAAGGCAGTGCCGCAAGTTGATTGGAATCATTCCAGTTGTCTACGCCTGACTAAGCCAAGGTAACAAAGAGGTGGAACTTCCTACCCACCAATTTCGCTTGCTTTTGTTAAGCCCATAAAAGTCAGTCGTTCTCCTTTTGTTTATTTGACTGCAATCATGGTTTCCTTCCAAATAACCCATTTGTTTTCACCTACTGTGCAGGTCTCTTGTTCAAATTGTACATTCTTCTAACCTCCGGATTCTCACTGTATCTACACATGATTCTGAGTTGTCAAGCATTAACAACATGTCAACATCTCAGGATGAGCCTAACACCCTGTACATGAAAATGGTTAGTATCCTATATGCAAAATACCCTTCAGTCCCATACAACATTTACAAGTTTGATCCACATTTTGATAATCTACTGCCTGTTGCTTTTGTTATTTGGATGCCTTTTGTTTATAATCATCATATAGTTCGAAACATCTGTATTGTACTTGAGAAAACTATCAATAGAGAGAATTTTCTCACTCACAGAATACTGAAGTGTGAGTTTAGCTGTTTTAGAATGCCTCTTAGCTTGCAAAATATGCTCCATTTAATTTCAAGTTGTCTTGGGGGCACTGCTACAGAAATAAGTACTTGTTAGTTTATTTGTTTATTCTCGATTTTGCTAGTTTACAAGAATAGTGCTTCTTAGATTGTAGAACCTTGTTTGACTACTTGCCTTTTGCATCCTTATGTTTTCTTTTTAACTACGAGAGTACTTGTTACTTCTGAACTCTGATGTCCTAATTTCATTGCGCAATATTGAGCTGATTTGTTGTATAATCACAATAATTTACTGTCTGCTTTGTTGTATTTCAAGTTAGGGTAACTATTGGGGTTTAATGAACTTCATGTTCGTATGTATTCTCACTTTCTCAGTATCTGCAGGATTTCTATTCTGACTACATAACAAGTGAATGGTGCTAACCTCAAATACTATCATACTGCCACTACGTTTTGTAGATCATCTCCATTGGATCACCCTAACTGTTATATATAATAGAACAACTCTGAGATCAGATTATAGTAGTGCAAGGTAATTGCTCTTTGTTTTTTTCCTAATGACATGAACGTTAAGCCATTTTTACAGATACTATGTGTCTATGTTATACAAGTGCTCCTTGACACGAACCCTACTTATTTTAACCTGCAGTTCACAAGGGTTCATCAAGTCCTTGAGCTGTACATCGTGTAATCTTGTTGAATCTTTCTGAAACACATTGTTGCACCTTAGGGGATTGAGTGTGTATCCCTGTTGTTAGAAAATCCTTGTGTCAAAGCTAATTATACTATATTTGCTAGTTTTTAATGTTACCCATGGGGAAAAATAGTGAGGTTGGAATTGTTTGTGATATTTTGGCTATTCAGAATTAAGATTGTTGTGTGCCCACGTTTGAGGCTTTACAAATGACGTAGCATAAGAAGATATTTGTTTTGCGATCACTGACTGAAGATGTTGAACTGAGTTTTTTTCTTATGGAAAAACCGAATGTTCTTCCATCCGTTTTAAAGAAAATCATTGTTTCAATACTTCTATAAATCTACAGCAATAATAACAAGGATACATATGCATTGTGTCCTGGTAGCAGATTGCTAACTAGGAATGCATTGTATTGTCCTGATCAGCCAACTAAAGATCAGAAAGTAACATCTATGTTGATCAACTGCACATGTTCAAATATGGGTATCTTGTGATATAACCATAAGTGTTTAGTGGCTTCGTAACTTATTATTTACATCACTTGTGTAGAGTATATCCTCTGAAGGTTGAACCCCAATGTGGCCACAGAACGCATATGTAGGCAAAAGTTGTGGTAATGAAGGCAATATTCTGCTACTGCAACAGCCAAAAATGATTTTTGTTAAGTACATGCACCTTTGTCTGCTAAGTCCTCAAGTATTAAGTTTTCAACTACATGTTGCATATTATTTCCTAAGCATGCTGTCAACAGACCTGATGTTCTGGACTCTTGCCTACATCCTTGCACATGGATGTTCTGTATTAAACTAAAAACACCTCAAAGTTCAGCTTGTTGAGCTCATGGGACCTTCATATGAAAAAACGAATCTGGTAAGTACCTCGAGTATACTAAATTTTGCTTTAGTTCCTTCTTTTTTTTGTTATGAATTACTCTGAAATGTTTACTTTGATGAAGTGGTGAACACTTAAATCTTTATTGATATTTTTGCCACAAGATGTAATGAGGAAGGTACTGGCAGAAATGTGCAGTGTTTGGTATTCTGGAAACATGTTAAATCAGTTCAAAATGTTGAGACACAATTGAATTATAAATGTTTTCATGTCAGGCCATCTCAAATGATGCAGATATCAGTTAAGTCATGTTGTTGCTTAGTAAATTACCATGCTGCTCTGAACTGTCCATGATAATAGCATGCATCACTTCAGTATTTTGTAATTGTGTGTAATTTGTTCCCTCTAGTAAATTTGGCTATCCTGGTGAAAAATGAAATTCTACCTTTGGACTCTCTATTTTAGATTATAAAGGAGATTAGGAGATGCACATATCTGACATGATTTGAATTTGCATAGAATAAACTGATACTCTGTTAATTGGCAAGAAATATTTTGAACTGACTGTAATTCTCTAGTGCACGAGTAATTTAAATTCTCATTATTATGCTATAATAACTTGTTTCCTTATACTTTATTTCACTTATTATAATGTAATGGAAATTTCCTTCACAGATTTCTTCTTTTCTTTCTTCATGCAGTGAACATTGATGGAAAAGATAAATAAGAAGATTTACAAGCGCCATTCTCAATCACCTTAGGTAGCATTACAGATAGTTAGGTACCATAGTTATTTTTACCGTGAATTATGGTTTTACTTGTTATGCTTTCCATGTCACAGGAGCACAACTTGTTCTTCTGCTAGACCACAAGCTATCCTGCTCAAGTGCACAAGTGCAAGCTTGCCTAGTGCTGCTCAAGTGCTGACAACAGTAAGAGCTTCACTTTTGTCGATCTTCAAGATTCAGTTACAAATGATATAGGCAGCTAATGTGAAAAGTCTCCTAATGTTCGTCTAATTTTCTAATCAAACATTGCATGGCAGCAGTGTTGGCATGAAGATTTGGCTGATTCAAGGAGGTTTCTGGCACTTCAGTAGTCAACATGAAACTACTACTACACCTACTATTCTATTCACTGGAACAACTTCAGATGTTCCTACTGGGTCATTCTCGTTCTCTATGGTCTGCTTGTTGATTGGCAGATCCAGCCAGTGCCATCAAGCAGCTGTGAACCAAGAGCTCCTTCACATTGCACTCATCTACTCCAACAGAGTAGCTGCATGCATCCGGTGGTGCTCACTCTTTTTAAGCACTCATCCTGGATTGCATATGAGGTGAGTGTTACACGTCTGCTCAGGCTCGTTTGTGATGCCAGTTGACATTTGTAAATGCCATTTTTTCTAGTAGAAATATTGGTCAGCCTTTTCCCTCGGACCTTTCTGCAGGCACTATGCCCCAAAGTTGTGCCAAGATTACAATCATCTTCAGAAGGTATCGCTTCGGGACATCATCATTTGGCTTGAAGCTCGGCAAGGCTTCTTGCATCTGTCAGGTTCTTGCCATAAGGATGGCAGGGGGAAACTCAGAGAGCGCACTATTGTAGTTGTAGCAGTGAAGGGATGGATCTATTGCCATTTGAGATGAATCGCATCATTCGACTTTTCCTTTAGACAGCTAATGTTGCTAGCTTGGATAATTTTTCAGTCGAACTTGGTAGTTTAATGGTTGTGCACTGATATGTCTCCGGCCGATTGTATTTTGGCAACTATGCAAGACTAGTTCATGTATCTGAGCTGAGACCGAGACTATTCGTTCTCATCAACAAAGCATAGGACAGCAGTCCCCATCTAAGCTTTTTGTGATATATATCCGCCCGATCAGCCCGAGCATGGAACACATGCTGCCTGTGTGTGACATCGCGAATCCGGTGACAGAGACACACGGTGTATACGTCGATTGCGCTGCAACATTATTATTAGTCATTGGGCCCGGACACAGCGTGCCCACGCCGCAAAAAGAAAGTTGATGTACACCTAACACACGAATTTGCAGTTTTGCACCCCTCGATGGATCAACTTAGCATGCATCACGCCATCTCCCTAAATATATTTTTTGAACGCAAATCTCCCTAAATATATATCTCACTGTATTTTTCTACTTGGACGTGTTTTAATTAATCTATATATATACTGGGAATTTTCAGTACGTAGCATGCCTATGTGTAAATTTAATTAATCCGTCTTTGTTCAAGTATGAAATCACTTCTCCACTAGCCGAAAACTTGAAATTGGGAGAGCGTATATGTATGAAAAGGAGAAGGAAAGGAAAGTAGTTGGACTAAGGAGAGCGTATATGTATGAAAAGGAGAAGGAAAGGACAGTAGTTGGACTAGTTTCATAGGGCCTGTTCGCTGGTTGGTGCTGGTGCTGGTTTGGGCTGGCTGGTGCTGGTTTTTTGTGAGAGGAAAACACTGTTGACTGGCTGGTTTGGGCTGGTTGAAACCAACAAGCGAACAGGCTGATAGTATCTGGATAGGTATCATTTCACTAGCGGGGGTGGTGATAGGTGTCAGCCTTCTAGGATCCGCGGTAGAGATCTTATGAGTAATTTATAGATGAGAATTTTAAGGAATCGCTTTAGGTTATTTTTGTTAATGACTGAGTTAATTCTTTTATATTTAATATAGTGGCAAAATCCCTAAACTAATATGCTACTTTGAGCTAATCTTTTAATAACGAATCAGGTCTTTAGTTTACATGAAAAAATTAGGGGTTATTACTTTGGTTTATTTTTAATAATAATAAAGGTGAATAATCTAGATGTAGATTCAGGGATATTAAAGTTGTTTCCTATAATTACATCTATAGGTAATTTAGATACACATTTAAGGGATTACTTTAAGTTATTTTGATAATGTCAAATGTGAGTAATTTAGATTAAGTTTTTTTTTCTCCTTTGGCTAAGTTGGTTAGGTGGTTCGAGTAC